CCTGCCACCTTCTCTAATCTGTCCCCTTTCCTCTTCCTCTGCCTGCCACCGCCCAGCCAGGCCAGGCCAGGCCAGCACTGCCTGCAGGCCAACTCCAACTGGCTCCCACCAGGTCTGGATCAGGGCCCCTTGCACCTTCTCCAACATCACCTTCCATCTTGCTTTACTCCAGAACCAAGTAAGTGCCTTCCAGCAAGGGGCCTCTACTTCCCACTTCTAGCCCCACCCCTCCACCTCCAAGAGTCTCACAGTGTTCCTTCCTCAGGTAAGCCCTCCATTCTTGTGGTGATAATGTACCCCATGAAGAGACAGTGAGCCCCATGAAGGCAAGGACTGGGACCCCAGCCTGATGACGAGTGGCCAGAGGCCTGAACGGAAATGCCTCCCCAGCAAATTCCCTCTGATTAGGGTTATCTTTATCTTTTTTTTTTTTTTTTGGTATCGGGGATCGAACTTGGGACCTTGTGCTCGCATGGCAGGCGGCAGAACCACTGAGCTAAATCCCCAGCCCAGTATTATCTTTATGTATGTATACAATGTGGCAATAAATATTTTGCTATTGAAAAAAAAAATCCCTCCCCACTGGTCTGCCAGGGTCTACTGGTATCCACAAGGACTCACTCCACATCTGCCTGGCTCCAAAATTCCCATGATGCCCACCAGGGAAGAGGGGTGCCTGGTCCTGCTCACCTCCAGAAGCCCAGGACCAAAGGGTACTCAGAGTGGAACGGGGTCCCATTCTTGTGCCTCAGCACTTCCTGGTGCGCTCAGGCTCTAAGTTCCCACTCTGGGCAGGAAAATGGATGCCCTGCCCATCTCAGAGGTCCCCTGCACCTCCACACTCCTGCTCCCTTCACCCAATCTCCAGCCTGCCTTCCTACTGCTCCATGCCAAGGTATTCCTGAGAGCAGGCCTTGGATGGGAGTGGACCCAAGTGGCATTTGGCAGCCTCTTCCAAGGAGGGCGGGCAAGGGACTGCGGAAGCACAGCCCTGCCAAGCGTGTGTGAGGAAAGACCAGCCGTCTTGGCCTCCCCAGGGACTGGGCCTGGGCATACGCCCTCCAGCTGTACAGCTGACCTGTCCAAGGGAATGGCCCTCTGTGGCCTCCCATCTGGGTGGCACCAGTCCATGACCACAGAAGGGAGGCAGTGCCTGCATGGTGAGCACCCAGGTGCCCCTTCAATATCTGCCCAAATAAACCCCACTGAAGGCCGACAGACCGCTCCAAGCTGCCAGAGAAGAAAAGGACAGAGAAGCGGACTCTCTGTGTCTCGGACAGCCAGGCACGCAAGTTCAGAGCTGGAGGAGCCCCTGCAGCAACCTTCTCCTCCTAGCCCAGCCTACCTTCTTTGTGCAGAGATGGGTACTGAGGTACAGGGGTAGAGGTCGGGTCCAGACCACAGTGCGACTGGCTGTGCGATTTGTTCCACCTATGAGTGACCCTGGTGAGTCACTTCTTTGTACCAGGCCTCAGTTTCCCCATCTGTCGGCTGAGGAGACACTCTCTCCTTTCTCTCCTCCTTGCTGTGACATAAAGCAGCACCTCCCTTGTATCTCCTCCCCTGACACCACCAGCCACATGCATGGGGTAAGCCAAAGGACCAGTACCAGCCGGGAGCAGAGCCCTCAGGATACCTAGGATTATTCCTGCCCAAAGGCCACCTCAACAGGTTAGCTACTTCCCAACTCACTAGACTGGGCTAAGACTTCTGTATCCCTCCTGGGACGCTCTCCCCCGAAAATCTCCTAGATGGCATTTGGATCCATCTGTCTGGGAAGCCTCTCTAGGGATCCCAGAAAATGCCACTGTACTCCAATGCTAGCCTGTGCCTGGTCCCACATCCATAGCAGTGACTTCAACCCCACTCCTGCCTTATGGTCCTGGGACTCTTTACCTTGGGCCTCCAAACTATCCAGCTCTGTACTTTCCTGTACCATCCAATTCACTGAAAGGAACCTTTTTCAAAGGTTTGGGCATGCTACATGGGTCTATAGCTACTTCCAACCCACCCAAGTTCAGGTCTTCTTTCTGCTCCTCTGTAGTTGAGCGATACTTGGCTCAACCACTTTAGCACTCCTGAACCCAGTGTCTTCACCTGTAAACGGGGACAACAGCCTCAGCTCACAGAAGGTTGTGGGGACTCAACAGAGCATGCGTTGGAGGTGCTCAACAAATTCCTGGCATACAGCAAATGTACATTCAGAGCTCGTTTGAATCATAATGGTAGAAAAATTGTTTTCCCAATTGCCATTTACCACCCAGTGACTTCTCGCCTCTCTGGCTTAGGTGCCTCTCCAGATGGCTGAGAGGACTCCTGGGGATACCATCTGCAAACAGCACAGTGCCTGGCACACAGCACGGGCACTCAGAACACAGTGGCTGTGAGGATCACTGCCTGTAAGGAGGTGTTAGAAAGATGAGCCTGAGGAACAGCCCAATGCACCACCTGCTCTACCTGCTCAAACTGGGTCAGGCTGAACTGTGGACCTAGCTGTTGCCATGGCACCCAACTCAGGGAAATAGACTCCAGCTAGGAGGGCGGATGCTACAGGGGTGGGGCCTCGGCTGCTTCGATCTGAGCTGCCAGCACCAAGTCTGAGCCATTGCAGAGGTCCCTGGGGTTTGGGAAAATTGCTACTGGATCTGAGCCAATGATCTAAACAGGTCCAGTCACCTCAGGCCCTACCCCAACTTGTAAACAATGGGGTCATGGCAATCTGGAGGGGTGGGCTGTAAGGTGGGGCTCCTGGGCTATAGTAGGGTGGGTGGGGTGTGGGTGGAGGAAGCAGGAACCCAGGAACCTCCAACCCCTGGACAAAAGCCAAGGCAGCTCTGAACTGGCTTCAGGTTCTCTGTAGCCACACCTGCCCAGCACCAAACAGGTACCCTGCACCCACTAAGTGCCCAGCCTCAGGGGGCCTCAATGTCAGTTCCTCCCTTCACAGCCCTACTCAGGTTTCATGCAGGCTGAGGCCTGGGAAAGGCTGCCTGGGCTCAGCTGGGCTTGAGGAATCAGAGGCCTCTTGCCAGAGGGGAAAAAAGAGAAAACAGACATGGAATCCAGATCATTCGGGCTAAGATCTGGAACTTTCCAGACTTTCCTGGATGAGGGGGCAGGTTTAGAGCCCTGGAGAGGCTAATGGGTAGGGTGACAAAAGTCACAGGGCCTGGGAAGCCAAGTGAGACCTCAGCCTGTGGCTCAATGTCAATTCCTTGGTGAGATTAACGGGGGGGGGGGGGGGGGGGGGGGGGGGCTTGTGGGGGGGGGGGGGGGGCCCCCCCACCTCGGGGGGGGGGGGGGGGGGGGGCTGGGCTGCTCTATGGGAGGTGGAGGGGTCCCCCTAAGACCTGGAGGGGCTTGGGCCTGGGCAACTCTGCCCACAGCAACCACAAATGCAGCAGTGATTTGCCTGGGTAGGGCATGGTACATAGATTACCCATTCCCCTCACAACCTGAGGAGTGGGTCTCACTCCTCCACTTTACAAGAGCAAACAGGCTCAGAAGCACAACGAGGTAGTGACTAAAAGCACATCCTGAGTTGGAAACTAGGTTCTGCTGTATTAACTCGAGAAAATCACTCTGAGCCTCAGTTCTCACCCCTCCATAGGGACCCCACCTCTACCCTGCTCTATGTCACAGTCGAGGGGTTGAGACCAACAACTGCTGGCTCTTGAGATCAGGGAGGTTAGGTAAGTCAACCAAAATCCCCCTGCCAGTGACTGGCCAACTCCAGGCCCCAGCTCTGAGCAGAGTGGGCCCGTGTGAGGTGGGTGCAGGATCCCATGCAACCAAGGATGCTCCCCCCAAAAGGGGCAGCTCTTATCCAAATTCCTCAGATAAGCAGCTCCCAGTGGACCAGGGAACCAGGACATGGAAAAGGGACCTCACCCTGCCCACACAGAACACCAAAATCTGGGTTAGGCTGTGCAGCTCCCCTACTCCCTGCAGAAGACGCAACCTCCAGATTCATCCAACAGGTCTCCCAACAGCCCAAGTTCAGCCGATCACCCCCTTCTCTGAGGTCCCTGGTAAGCCACTTACTTCCTCTTGCTGGGCCTCAGTTTCACTCAGAATAGTGGCAGCAGCCCATGCTCACTGGCCCCACAAGGCCTCAGGCGCAAGGGGCAGGCTGGGTGAGGGAGGCAGCACATGCCAGGCCCCCCAGTGCATTCTCTACTGAAACTGCTCCACAACTCTTGACGGTGGAACCTGTATCAGGCCCAGTTTCCAGAAGCAGAAACAAGAGCCCAGAGCAGGCCAGGATCCAAATCCCTATCTGTCCGACCCCAAGGATCGCTCCAGACAAGCCAGGGCTGTGACCCCAGGTGGACCCAATGGGCGGTGGGCAGCCTGGGAGCTCAGTTGCCTTCCACAATAAGATAGCCAGCTGGACCCGCCAGGATGGGGATCAACACAAAACCAAACTCAACCCATGGAGAGGGCAGCAGCCTCCCGACAAGGGCATTTGCAATGTAAAGCAGTCCAGCTCGGCCACAGGAGGACAGTCACTCAGAAGGGGCTGGGCAGGCCAAAAAACAGCCACCATCTCCAGCCAGACCCCAGAGCTCCTGGGACTGGTCCTTTGCAGCCACCTGGGAGAGCCAGAGAACCTGTGCTGCCACAAGCACGAAATCATGACAGCCCCAGGTGCAGCCAGGGTGCAAGGTGCTCTGGAACACCTCTTTCCTGCTCCCTCAAAGCGGAAATCCAACTGCTCTCTACTACATACAAGTCTGTAGGATGGGCCTATTGTGGGCTGCATGCAGAGCTCCAAAGGGCAACTGCAAAAACAGACTCCCAGGTATCTGGCTGGTCACCTGCAAACAGGTGCCTGGCACCTTGCCAGCTCGTTCCGGCCCTATCGTGCCTTGTACAAATCTATCCTTGACACACAGATGCCCTGGGGCACCCTCGTCCCAAGGAAGAACTGCACACTGCCGAGGAGCTAGATCGCGTCACCCCCTTCACCGGCAGGTAGGAAATGTCCCAGGTCCTACCTTGACGACAAACTGACAAAATCTCCACCATCCAGCAGCCGGACCTTGCAGAAGAGGACCCCATTCACGAAGGGGACCGCAGTCAGTTCCTCCAGGGTGAAAGTGGTTTGGAATTTGAATTTCTTCTTCTTCATCAAGAAAGCCATGAGCGAGTTCCCTGAGTCTGAAGCCCCAAAGGCCAAAAAAAGGGGGGGCAGAAATCCCCAGGATTCCTTTCCCTACACCACACCCCCTCCTCAAAAACACCAGAGCCCGCTCCCGCCCAGATGGTGGCGGAGGTGGCGGCAGAGCGGGCGAAGATCTGAGTCTGGAGCCCCGGGTCTGGGCGACCAGTCCGGTGTCCGTGGGCTCGCTGGTTTCACCCTCGGGGAGCCGGGTTTCCGAGCGTCTCGAAGCAGCTGGGGGCTTTGCCGGCCCGTAAACAGCGGGGCATGGTCCGGGAGGCCAGGACAAGGGTGGCCGGCGGCGCGCGAGCGGCCAGCATCCCGAGCGGCCCGGGAGACTCAACCCCGGGGGCCCGGCGGCCCGGCGAGACTTGGGAGGGCAGCGCCGCGCCGGTGTGGCCCAGGTACGCGCGGCCCCGCCCCCGCCGCCGCCGCCGCCCCGCTGGCGGCCGGGAGAGGCGCCCTCGCCGTGCTCGCCCCCGCACCTGGGCCCTGCGCCCAGCGCAGGTGAGGCGAGGGTGGGGGCAGGGCGCCCCCGCGACGGCCCGGACTCTGGCGGCCGCTCGGGGAGGCGCAGCGGGGTCTCTGCTGGCCGCCGGCCACCTCTGTGGGGGCACCGGGCCGGCTGCGGGCAGCGGAGGCGCCGCCTCCTCCTCGGTACTGGGACCCGCGCCGCGGGCCCTGGCAGAGCTGAGAAGCCTTCCGGCCCGGCCGGTGGCTTCCGCTTCGCCCGCCGCCTCTGCCCAGCACCCCGCTACCAGCACTCCGCCGCCTGCGACCCCAACTGCGGCCACCTGAGCCTGACGCTGCGCGCCGCCGCTCGGAGAATGCCGAGGCCCTGAGCGGCTGCCCGCCGAGCCGCGGCGGAGCGCGGCAGGGGCGGGGCGCCGGCCGCCCATTCCATCCGCGATTGGACGGCCTATGGGGGCGAGTGTGGAGCACCATTGGTGGACAGCTGCGTGGGGCGGGACTCATGAGGAGCAGAGGTGGCTCGGATGCTCGGATTGGTGCGCTGCAAGTCTAGCCCCTTCTCCTCGGGCCCGGCGGGGCGGGAGCCGAGGGGTTGGGAGAGGGGCTCCGGCAAAGCAAGGCGAGGCCAGATGGTGGGAGGTTGCGGGGTGGGAGCTGGGGCCGTCCCGGCAGGGAGGAAAGCGCGAGCAGAAGAAAGGAAGAAAGCATGACGGGGAGAAACTGAAAACTATGGCTGGAACGGCCTTCCAGGGTCCCACCAGCCTTGAGCGTTGAGCTCTAAAGCAGGCTTGGAAGATACTGAGTCTCGTTTCTCGGAAGACTGCCACTCGGAGAGGTAGATGGCCCAGGACCCGCGCAGGTCTGAGTCAGGGCCGAAGTGTGGGAAAACTCCGCCGCGGCGAGGTCATCTGGAGCAGTTTATCTCGTAGCCTTGTGACCCACCTTGTCCTGTTCCAGGATGTTATCTAAGCCTCTTGCTGTCCTTTCATTTTTTTTTTTATTTTTTTTTTTTGATAGTTGCGGCTGGTCTCCTTGGCTAGATTAACTGCTCAGGGGACAAAGAACACTTCGGCAGCGCTGTATCTATCCCCCAGACCCTCAGCATTTCATTCATCAGTGCCCAATGCTTAGGGACACTGCTCTGAGCCAGGCGGGGACCCGATGGGAAGGAAGCCTGGCCTAGCTGTCTCTGGCCCTGTCTCTGGAGAAGCAGGCAGGGGCACAGGCACCCCATGGGGGGAGGACGAGAGGGAGGCTCTGAAGAGGCATTGGGGACCCAGATTCCACTGGACGTGGGCTTGAGTTGTGTCTGCACCTGTAAACAAGGACCCGCATTTCGGATTGCTTCTGGCTTGAACCACCGGTGATAACGTGCATGACTAACCCAAGACAGTCCTGATGGGACAAGTCATGCATCTACCACCGGTGGTTCAGAGCTGCCCATCAGCGAGACATGTGATTTATGGCCCCATGGTGAACAAATTTAATCCCTCTGTGCCCGTTTTAACCCCGCTGCAACCCCAGGGGAGTGTTCTTGTCTCTCATCCTGGCTGTGTCTGCTCTAAAATGGGAGGAGAGCCTGTGGCTACCTGAGGCCAGGAGGGGATGTTAGAGGAACTAGCCAGAGGAAGCTATCTCTCAGCTGTGACCGTGAATAACCTCAGGCCACTCCAACAGGAAGTAGGGTGGGCCTGGCTGCCAGGCTTGGTTCTGTTTATCTCTGCAGCCTTAAGGCTGGGAACCTGGGAAATTTTCCTTCCCTCATTTCCCACATAGTGCCTGGGGAAGGAGAGAGATCTTATGAGGGCAGGATGCTAGATTTGGGGTGAAACATGCCCTAGTTAAAATCCTGGCTCTGCTGTCCATTGGCAGTGTGGGGTCCGCTGGGTTCACAGATGGGGAGGTGGCGCGGTATGACGTGGCTAAGGACCCCGCTGACATACTGATGATCAGTCAGGTCACACAAACTTTGGGTATAGTGTTTCATGGAAGTAAAGAAATCTTGCCAGGAATCTTGCATGCCTGTAATCCTAGCACTCTGGCGACTGAGGCAGGATTTTGCCTCGAGTTTGAAGCCAGCCTGGGCTACATAGTCAGTTCCAGGCCAGCCCGAAATACCCTGTCTGGAAACAAAGCAAAGAATCCCAGTCTTTCTAGAATGTTGTGAAGACTACCTGAGGCTGCACCTGCCAAAGCTTAGACCTGGAGGGACAAGAGGATCTGAGCAAGTGCTCAGTGGGGCACTCCAGCCCCCCAGTTTCCACGTATGCTTTGTCCTACCTCCCAGAGGCCCCTGCAAGGTGCAGAGGGGGCCCAGCACCAGACAAGACTTTCAGACAAGTGTGGAGAGGAGAACCCAGGGAAATGGACTGGGTCACGGGTCCTGATCCAGTTTCGGTAGACAAGGAGGGCCTCTTGGAGGTCTTCTCTCACCCAAGGCCTCAGTAAGAAGGGGAGCCCAGCGCAGGAAGCTCTGTGGTCAGAGGGATGAGTTGGTGTACTTGGGGGGCTCCTTGTGACAGGAATGGAATGGGCAGAGGGGCCCGCTCACCTGGGCCCTGGTGAACCTAGGAGGAGTTTGGTTTTTATTCAAAGCTCAAAGGAATATTTTTGGAGGATGTGAGCAGGGGCCGGGGTAGGGTGGGGGGGGGAGGGACAAGATTCAAAATATGATGTTAAAAACACTCTCTGAAGCTGGGTATGGTGGCACACACCTGTCATCCCAGCACCGGGGAGGCTGAGCCAGGAGGATTGCTAGGAGTTTGGGGCCAGACTGTGAGTTCAAGGCCAGCCCGAACTACATCGTGTGACCTTGTCTCAAAAAACCAAACAAATGAAAACCTGACACCCTCTGAGCCGGGTATGGCAGCACCTGCTTGTAGTCTCAGCACTCTGGGAGGCTGAGGCAGGAGGATTGTAAATTAGTGCCCAGTCTGAGCAATTTAGCAACTTAGCCAGACCCTGTCTCAAAAAAGAAAAAAGAAAAAGAAAAGGAGCAACTGGGGACATAGCTCAGTGCAAAGGCCCAGTTCAATCTACAGTAACAAAAAACAAAACCAAAAAATCACCCTCTGGCTGCCGTGTGGAACAAAAATTCATTGCTGGGGGCAAGAAGAGATGCTGGCAGTCAGCGGGGGAGGCCGGGCGGCTCACACCCTGGCAGAGACAGCAAGGCGAAGAGAAGAGGAATTCATTGCACAGAAGGCCCTGGCAGCGCTTGCTGAGGAGTAATAGTTACTCACAGTCACGGTCAAGGCTGACAAGCCCAGGAGGGACTCAGCCTTTTGAACATCTGCAGGGTTTGGAATTGATTGATTGCTGGGAGGTCTTGAAGCTGGGAGGTGGTAATAAGTGCTGGGTGGGTAGGTGTGGGGAAGGAGTAGCAGGAATGCAGGGATTCACTGTGGCTGCGGACCCCAGAATGGGACCTAGGCGGGACAGTGGGGGCACCTTAGAGAGCCCTCACCCTTATTCGATCCTGGACAAACTGTGTGATGCCCTTGAATTAGCACTGTCTCCCGCTAAGCACAGGGTCAGGCACCTCACCCACAGGGTGCCCTTGTCCAGTTCAAGGCCTGCTACCTGACAGACGCTCCATAAATGGTACCACACAAATGCATGTATAGATGCGTGGATGGACTCACTGGTGTATAATTGAGAAATGGTGACTTTAGGGTTTTTTTTGGTACCGGGGATCAAACTCCTGCGAGGCAGGCAGTGGAACCACTGAGCTAAATCCCTGGCCTGCGACTTTAGATTTTTAAAAATTTATTGCAGTAAAAGACACATGGCCATTAATCCCCATCAAAATACCCCCCCCCATAAGCTGGCCATGGTGCTACATACCTGTGACCCCAGCACTCAGGAGACTGAGGCAGAAGGATCACAAGTTCAAGCCCAGTCTGGGCACCTTAGTGACTTCGTGAAACTCTGTCTTAAAATTAAAACAAATAAAAGGGCTGAGTATGTAGCTCAGTGCAAAAGCCCTGGATTTAATTTCCAGTACTGCAAAAAATAATTTTTTAATAAAATTAAGTTTAAGAAAGAGAACGGAGAAACTGAGGTAGGCCAAGGAAGTGTCACTTGCTCCATCACCTGAGGGCAGCTACCCAGCTGGCCTGACTCTCGGTCACCTGACATCAGCATGGAGCCTGACTGTTGCACAGTCATGCCTCGCCATGCCGCCTCCCAACCTGCCAGCCGAGGGCAGCAGGCGCTGATTCACCGGTGACTGGACACTGGGTATTTGCAGAGCCAGAGCAGCAGCTGGGCCACCCAGGCAGCTGACCAGGCAGATGGACGTGTGCCTGGCTCCTCGCTGCTATCAGCCAGTCACACTGATGATAAAGGCTTTAAAGAACAGCCCCCCACCCACCCCGACAGCATGTCCCGCTTGAGCCTCCCACGGCCAAGTGCACAAGGCTCCTATTGATCAGCCAGCAATTCCCCTCCAGCTCAGCTGACCATGGCTCACGTAGTGGAGTCACAGTTCATGGTGGCCCTGGGTCAGAGGGAATTTGCATATTTGCCACTTAGAAAGAGATGCTGCCAAGCTGCCTTCCAAAAAGGCTGGACGAGTTTCGTTTTGTTCTGGTTTGTGTTTTGTTTTGAGATAGGGTCTCACTATGTAGTTTAAGCTGGTCCTGAACTCACTATGTAGCCCAGACTGATCTCAAACTCACAGTGATCCTCCTGCCTCAGCCTCCTGAGTGCTGGGATTATAGGCATGTATCACTATGTCCAGCTGTAGTTTTGTTTTGTTTTGAAACAGTTTTGCTATGTAGTCCAGGCTGATTTTGAACTCACTATGTAGCCCAGGCTAGCCTTGAACTTGCTATTCTCCTGCCTCAGCCTCCTGAGTGCT